AAATTCTAGCTAGCTAGAATTATTGCTAGGGTTCTAACCCTAACACTGTTATTTATCATTGTCTCTTAATCTCTATTTTTGATTAATTTGTTTTCTTTGCAATGAAAGAGAAGAACTTTCTAAACGACCCCAAGGAACCAAGCCACGCCCTTGCATCTCTATCTTTTCCTCACAATTATCCATGTGGGATATACTATTTTCATACAAATCTACCTTTTCCATTCTTTTTTTCCAATCAATTATCTTTATTTTGTCCTTTATTCGTGAAGAGGTGTTTTGCATCAAGCATCACCGTCGCATCTTTGAAAAGAAAGCTAGATATCAATCAAGCAATGATGTCAAAATATTAAAATTTGGAGATATGGAAATGYAACTACCTCAATCTCACCAACCTAGCCGTCCATGTGGGATGTACGATCTTTGTACAATTTTCCCTTGGGAATTAGAACGCGTCGACTTACCTAACCTTATTGGGATCTTTTCCGTGTGGGGGCGTCATATTAACGTTGTATATGTTCTACATTTTATGTTCTTAATTTTTAACCATTTTTACACCCCGAAGAAAATCGCAGACAGTGATACTTTTTCTCATTGATATTTTTTTGTACGCATTCTCAATTCCATTGATCGCAATTTATTCTGTAAATCAAACACAAAGTCAATTTTTCATTAAATTTTTTATTTATTTTTCCTTTCTTTAAAAAAACTTTAAAATATTTTCTATTGAAGGGGTTTTACTTATTCCGTGAAATACCTGGTACCTCTATTAGTCTAATATCAAGATAATAACTTCAATCTATACTGGGCACAATAGCAATAATAATAATGGGAGGTTCTTATATAGCGCATTTATGCAACGTCTCAATGCGCTTTACATTTATGACCAGTGGAAGACTTTACGTGCTGCATATTAAATAATATAATCTTTCTTCATAACAAGTTTAGAAAAATAATTACTAGCTATTATTTTGATCACAAGATTATTCTCGTATCATCATTCAACTCATTTGACAAGTCATGTCCCTGTACTAGACTCTGCTTTAAATCCTGACACTTGTGGGATCCATCGATTAGTCTTTGCGCATGCGTTATTGCCATTTTTTAAACACGAAAATCTCGCTTATGTGCACAGCATGTAACAAATAAGCAAACCTCTTTCGTAGTATTTATCTATCTGATTTATGTTTTAATACAGGTGCTGGACAGCAGTTGCTGGTGGTTCCATGTGGGGGTACTCTGCACCATTACTCGTTATTATCCTGGTAAGTCGACCCTAAAGCATCACTACTACACTATACAGTGCACCCTTCTATTCTTCGTTTGCACGTTACGTCATCGCGGCCATGTTGGTGCCATTTAACAAAAGATTTCTCATTAGCATCCATTGTTAACGGCACCACAATGGCCGCCATGTTTTTGTCTTTTAACTCTCTTGGGAATGCTTGCAACCCATCAATAGAGCGTTTTCACTCCCGTGGCAATGCAGCCATATTGGTGTACCAAACAATAGAAACTTACTGCACAGTTGCATAAAAATAGAGTTCAATTCCTAGAGGATAGAAAATGTATTGTTTTGGAACACCAAGATGGCCGCTAGAATTTTCTTGAATGCGATAGAATGCGAGACTGCCAGAATGCGAGATTAACATGGAAACACCTAAGGAACGCCTCAAATTCCATCGAGAAAAAGTGTACTTTCTTTTAGTATTTTCATGTTACACTCGCATTCGAGAAATTTATCAGGAGAGTCATTACTGCTTTCTTTATTTATTCCTAACTCTTCCATCCCGTTCTCTCCACCCCACTGGTGGGTGGGGTGGAGAGAAACTGTGTGTACAAGAGTGTATTCGTTTTCTTACATTCTTACATTTGGAAATCAGTTCATGGGTTTAGAAATACCATCACTGATAAACTGTTCTTTTTTTCCCCAGTTGAACATCTCTGTCTTGATGGTGGGTGGGGTTGAGAGAAGCTGTGTGTACAAGAGTGTATTCGTTTTCTTACATTCTTACTTTTGGAGATCAGTTCATGGGTGTAGAAATACCATCACTGATAAACTGTTCTTTTTCCCCAGTTGAACATCTCTGTCTTGATTGCAATTCTGATACCAACCACTGAAAGAAAAACCAAATACGACTACCGTGAGATGAAGTAAGAATAATCGTCATTTTTTGATTAGTTACAATATAGTGTACAGAGGATTGTGAGTCCCTTAGGAATAAGGTCACAACCTAACTACTATAATTTGACACCCTATTACCCACCACCTCTGGAAGAGAAATCCTGTATAATTTGTCCTCAAATTTCTCCAAAACACAAAAGAAATAAATGTAATGTATTTTTCATTTCAACGGATTTCTGAGGAGGAGGGAGTTCTAAATTAATGAACCTGGTCCCTATTTTGGACCATTGTTTTGACCTTGGCCTCTGTAGAGCTTACAAGGAGACGTTCCAGAGTGTCATACATACCCGCTCCTGTAGGTAAATAGTCTTCAGATTCACGATGGAGTAATCAGTAGCRTTGGCATTTGTTGTTTTCAGGTATCGCGTTATCAAAGATGGTGTTCTTCTTGTCTTGTTTGGGGTCACTTGTTTGACTGCCTACTTGACAGTTGCCAACGAGACTTTCGCGCCACAGTACTTCCTGACCATTTCAATCATCCTGCAGGTAGGATATAACAAGAGATATAATGGATTTAAGAAGATTGCTTGTTGGGATTAGTTTGTTTGTAATTTAAGAACAATACCATTTTTCAAACGAACGAACGAACGAACGAACGAACGAACGAACGAACGAACGAACGAACGAACGCCGCCCGCCATCCCTTATGAATACTATTTTCTATCGTTCCGTTGTCAATAAGCTATTATTTCTTTATTTACAGGCTGTTGCCATGATTGTCTTCGGACGAGAGGTACGTCCACTTCCATTCTGTACTGAATATTCTATTCCTATACATCGAAACGCGGAGTATAATTCAACGATATTCTTTTTATTAGGGTCGCAAAGATTTCGTAAAACTTAAGAAGAAGAAGGTGGATATGGCTGACTCATTATCTCAGAACACCAACGAAGAAGACTTCCCGGAAAGGTTCGATGAAGAATCTATGTCTGATCGAAGGAGCAGCAAGAAAAGCGGCAAGTCAGGGGTAAGTCAGAATTGTTTGTTCATCTTTCACTAGGCCTGCAGGCTGTTCTGTCCTTTTCTGGCTTGTACTGCCCGCTGTTTCCTCCTCTACTTGCCTCTCCCCTCGCCTGGTTAACCTAGTAGGCTGCCTCTCCCCTCGTCTGCTTGACCTAGAAGACTGCCCTGCCCTGCCCTCTCCTTCCTTGCCCTCCTTGCCTAGTCTTCCCTGTCATAACCTTACCTGCCTTGCTTGTCCTAGATTTTTTTAGAGTTGCCCGCCTTCAATCCTCACTCAAATGGAAGCCCTTGTCTTTGAGCTCATTGTCAGTCTGTCTGCAGGCTGTTCTTTCCTGTTGCCCATTCTGCTATTTGAAATCCATTTTTGTCCTCCAAACTGAGCTGCTCTGGTAACTAATGCAAATAAAGGGGTCTATAGCTTTCGCTCCATAATAACCTTTTAATGTGTGATAATATTTCTTATCAATAGATCAATTCTCCTGGCGTAGATGCTCGAACGAAGAGCCTGAGAAGCGGAAAACAGCAGGAAACAGACATCGATGCTTAGCGAAACCTCACTGCACGTATATCCAATATAACCTACACGAGAGATATCCATATTTACTGCACATGCCCGGGTGTGTCAAATCCTGTTACTTTTAGTATAGGGAGGGTATGTTTTAAACCCGTGATTCGTAAGTGAATGTTCTTATGGAAAGCCATTACTCTGTCTACCTAAGACGCGAGAAGTCGACGCTAAAGAACCCCCTTCACCCTCACTGAAAAAGCATACCTTCCAATAGAATCCTTGCATGTGACGTCAATGCAGCTCAATTTGGAGGAAAAAGAAAAGAATTTTAATCTGAGAATTGAAAATCTAGTGTTATGTTCTCCAAAACGAGCTGCACTCCGACGTACTGCAAGGGGTCTATAGATTTACAATTGTGAATGACATTAGAGGTGCAGACATGCACAAAATCGTACTCGACGGCCCCTTTTACTTAGATGCATGGCTTAGAAATCCATAAGCCAGCCTATTGTTCTTGTGTGGGGGACTAAATAATATTCTTTTTTTTTCTTTCTAACTCTTGAAGTAATGTTCTCACGGCGAGTTTAAAATTCATTTCAATTCCAATTAGTCTCGATCTTAATATTTTAATATTTTCCATAGAAAAAGAGCTGGCTTTGGTCTTGCTACGTTAGGTGTTAAGGTCACGAAATAAAGCCTTTGACTGCTATCAGCTTATCTTCAAAAATGCTAGTCAATAAGAATCGAAAAAGTGTGCAATAATGAGGTGTCACTTTTCTCTTGAAACAGTGGATTTCCAGGCCAACAATGAAAAATAATAACGTTAAATAAGCACGTGATAATAGTAACAGAGTGACTGATGTGTGTTTTATGTTAATTGAATATTATTCTTAAGTTCTATGTTTGACCCTCCCCCTCCAAAAACAGTGTACCTTTCCTGAAGATTGATGAATTTTGAGCAACATTTTGGATCATTAGTTAATATTAAGGAGTTTGACTTTAAAAAAATCAACGAATTACACTCAAATATGTATTCAATTCATTCACGACAGTGCAAGTTATTTGGCTTGTGCCGTATTCAGTAAACACGCGTACATTTTGTAGAGAAAGAAATGAAGTGTTCAAACCAACAAACACATTTTTGAATAAGCAAGTGTAAGACTGCTTTTTACGAATAAATAGCACTTAAATCACTAGGGTGTTTTCTTGAACTGTGTCACTTCTCAAATTACGATACATGATGATCATCCATATATTCTCCGTTGGGATCCATGTGTTTAATATTATGGCAGAGAAGAACTAGGAATGAGAAACGATAGAAGATGAGTGGAGACGTGGGGATCCTCACCACAGGAAGCACAAGGAGCAGAAAGAGCCAAGGAGATGTCTGCGCGGATGAGGCTTGATCAAGGTAATGATGATACATGATGATAATATGTGATGGTAATGATGCATGATGATGATACA